TGTGAGCATGTTTAAAATGATTATCCTAAGTATTATAGATAATGTTCAGAAATACTCAAAATTTCTTCACCGAATATTACTCATAACAGTCAGAAATACATGATTTTTAAATTAGTCTGGCGCCCCAATATTCTATTGCTTTGTGCTTCAGACAAAAGCGTAGTGCCTGTTACGTATTATGTGCTGTGTAACGCGCAAGTGTACTGGCAAATTGTTTCTTTCAATGTGTTACCAATCAGGGAGGTTGATTTCACGAGACAGATTTCGTGGGACATTGAGAAAACAATTTTAAGCGGCTGAGGAAAGTGACTTCCTGAAAATGCATGACTCTGGTTTCTGTGAAATTACCTTTTTTTCCCTCCATGACCCTAATCCTCTTTCCTTCCTAAATCTAAATTTTCTTGGAATGCTTCAGAATATCTGGACTTGATCTCAGAAGATAATCTGAGAACAGGATTGGAGAATTTCAGCAAATGATACAACACATTAAAATTTTTACCAACCCCAGATGGAAGCTTCTAGATTTCTAGGTTTTAGAAGACATAGGGCCATGAAAGAAAGTTCGACATTTATTTAAACAGGAGGAATGAATGAGGAACAGGACCTACAGTTGGCCCTTTCCTCTTAGGTTCTTACAGAGTTAGAAGGCAGGGGCTGTAATCGAGACCCCAGAGAAGAAAGGCCAGCACACAGGGGAGTATTGAGACCATAACCTGCACATCAGATGTCCTCTCACACTCTCACTGTGTTAGAAGCTAAAGCATTTGTGTGAGATTCCAGGGAGCAAAGGCTGCTAGACGAGGCATCACATCGAGATGAGAACATTTCTGATCAGGGCAAAGACAGTCTGCCCAAAGTCATGGACTCCCTGCCCGAGCCACAGCCCCTGACCTCTGCTCTTCTGAACCCTTGGCTTTCTTCCTGTGACATCTGCTGCCTGTTTGCTGTGCTCCTAATACCCACAAGTGGGTCATCTCACTGCCCACAGAGACCTGTCCTCATGAGTCCTCTCAGATGCCCCTGCTGACCAGTATTTCAAAGGCAGCATGATGAAATGTTGCTTCCTGTGATAAAAACACAGTTTGCTTCCTTCTGATACACAGGCAATGATCTGTTGAATATATAGAGTGAGCGTGTAGCAGAGAAGAAACTTTATCTGATTAGACTAGGGAAGGAGTGTTTTTAAGAACAGTGGAACAATCTCTAACATAGGAAGTTGCCTCTGATAAGGGAAACCCAAGAGATACAGAGGAGCAGCTTCCTGACAACACAGATAGCAAAAGGCCTCTCAAGTAGGACTAGAAGTTGTATTTTTGAATGAAAGCCATTTCATGCTAACAAGGACCCCTGACTTCTACCTCCTGTCAATAGATTCACAAGGAAAATGGTGATAGACGCATTATTATCAGCTATTAGTAACCTACTGCTATATAACAAATGACTAAAATTTGGTAGCCTAACCTATAAACACTTCTTATCTCACACATTTTTTTGATGGTCAGGGATCTGAGAGTGACTTACCTGGGTGGTTCTACTTCAGGGTCTTTCATAAAGTTGTGGTCAACCTGTTGGCTAGAAGTTGTCATCTCTGAAGACTTGAATGCAACTGGAAGACCTCCCTCCAAGCTCGCTCATGTGGGTTGTTGTCAGAAAGCTCTGGTACCTCTCCATGTGGAGCAGTCATGGGGCTGCTCAACACATGGCTTCTCGGAGACAGAGTGATTCTAGAGAGAGAGCCCTGGACGGCAGCCACATGCCTTTTATAACCTCATCTTGGAGGTGGCATGTGATTACTTACTCCGTGATTTACTGGTCACGTCGACCTCCCTGGTACAGAGTGGAGAGGACCCTGCAAAGGTGTGAACAACAGGAAGCAGGGATTATTGGGGGCCATCCTGGAGCCTGGCTGCCACACTTGCTAAAGGTGCTTTTTATTGGGACCTCACAATTTCTAGAGACTCAGTTGCTCATCCTTTCGTTTAAACTACTCAAGTCTGGCAGGGAACACATGAACCTTGAACCTTGTTGAAACATGGAGGGAGCTAAACATATTTTATAAAAGCCATTGACTAAACATTTTCCATTCTTTGTTGTTGTTGTTTTGGAGGAGGAGCCGTGAGTGTGTGTGTGTGTGTGTGTGTGTGTGTGTGGGAGAGAGAGACAGAGACGGGGGAAGGAAAGGGGGAGGGAGAGAAAGAGAATGTAACAAAATCTAATTTTTCAGATCAAAATTATTTTTTCTTCCAGTTGACATATGGCTTTGGCATAACTCTTATTCTTCAATTCCCAAAGCACGCACCTCTGTGAACTCTCAGCTAAACACAGACTTTTTTTTTGGAAGTATGGGATAGGAGTAAGAAGGAAGGGACAAAATACTAGCTTTTGTGCTCGGTTTTAAGTTTTAATTTCTCAAAAAGAGACAGAGAGTACTGCAAGCCAAAACCTTTGACTTACACAGACTCATTAGGATGAGTAGAAGCCAATTATTGAAGACAATTGCTTCAGAAAGTCAAGAATATAGAAACTCCTGAAAATAGAAAGCTTGTTACCTCTTTATGTGATCATAAACGATCTGAAAGAACTTTCTATAGTGTGACTATGAAATAAGGTCGACTTTTTCTTTCCTGTTAAATCTGATGAAGAGGACAGTGACCCAGGTTGAAGGGTGAGGCAGAGACATACAGAGCTCGTCTTACAAGGAGGGAAAATTTGTGCTTATGTATTAGATTTGATTCTAGCTTTCTGGGGTAAAACATTAATCCTACAATCTTCTCTTTCTCACAGATGCTGAGATTCCTTTATAAGCTATTTGGACACCTGTATTTATAAGGTTTTTCTGATTTTCAAGAAACTCTTTCCTCCTTGGGGGAGTGAAGCAGCAAGTCTTACTGGTGAACGTATTTGGTGAGTTGTAGTAACCAGGTAAGAGGAGAGAAGGTGCTAGCAGGGGAAAAGCTCTCATGGGGAGGGGAGGAGAGCAAAGGCAGATGTGACAGAAAAATGAATTTGCAATCTATAGCCTCAGCTTCTTTCTAAAAGGGAGCAGCTTTCATAGCTGCCTAGCACCATGGGGGATTTGGGGTGTGCACATCTGGGGACAGACACTGCGGAGAAGTGAGAGGCTTCTGAGCACCTCTGGGAGGGAAGGGGTGGTGATGACCAGGTGCAAGAGGGGAGGAAGGATAGGAAGCTGTGAGATACTCCAGGTGATGCACACGTCGTTAGCTTGGTGCCCCACATTTCAGAACCGTTGGTGTACATGGATTTCTTGTGCAAGTTGGAGAAAGGGCGAGTCCCGGGCTGATGCTGAGCAAAACAGAGACGGGACTCCTGGGCACAGAAGCCTGAGGCAGAGACACCTCGAGATCAGGAGCCCCCGGAATTAGTAGACCTCATAGGGAAGACTCTGGGTTGTTATATGGTTGTGGAATTGGAAGTGGGTCTGAACTAATTATTCCTACTTCTCCAAGGCGCAAGGAAGGCCAGCTAACTTTTCCGTTTTGGCAGGTCAGTGAGATTTTTGACATTTAAAAGCTCCTTTTGGTTTGGGTACAGAGCTAAGACGTCCTCTCCACGTGGACGAAACCCACATGCAAACACAAATAAGCTCTTGTACACGTGTGTGCACGCACACACACACAACAAACACATTTCTGCTCTTCCAGCTGCACCAATCTGTTCTCATTTCAGACAAACAAGTTTGGCCAATTTTGATCTTTCCTTTCATGTCATTGAATGGTGAGTTGTCACAGATGTTCTGTGCCCCCATAGAGGAGCATTGCCTTCCATTGGTTCTGGGTCACTTTTGTTTAGGAGAGTCACCTCCAAGTGGTACAGTCATTTTTAGTGGGTGTGGCCTGAGAGCAAATTATACGTGGGGTGCAGTGTCAGATCTTCGGGCCTGGAGAGAGATCCTCAAGGGAGCAGGCTGTGTCCCCTCCCAGGCTCACCCAGCTTCTCCCTGCCAGTTGGATGCATGAGCAAGAATCTCTGGATTCTACATTTTGCAGAGCCCTTGAAGACAGAAGGATAAAGAGGAACTTCCTGAAGCAGCCCGTGGCTACGGAGGCCCCTCTATCTTACATCAAATGTTCCCTTCTCTATTACAAAACCTCATAGGCCTTGATAGATGCTGGCCTCCCTGGACTTCACGAAATGTCTTGAACAGTCAGTGGAAACATTGAAGATGCTGTTAGTCATCTTGGTAACAGTCAAGTACGTAAGTGCCAGTGCTGACAAACTCTTTGAAAGGCAGATTCCACAGCAGAGTTCTCTCTCTTTTTTTCCGGCCACCCCATTTAATACTGATAACCATACCCTTTGCACCAGAGCTTTAGAGAGGATGGAGAGCTTGACCCAAGCTACACTGTCAGTGAGAGGAAAACCAGCTGTATCTAAAGGTCCTGCTCCTTCTACTATATTAGAGAGTTCTTTGGCAGCTGGCACATCCTGATCATTTGGAAGTCACCAACAGTCTGAAAAAGAAAATCACGTACATGATTAAAGTTGGTTTATTCAGAATTCTAACAGGTGCAACGTGAGTCCACAAATCTGTATCACAGCCGTCCAAGACAGGCCATCTGGAGACACATGGAAAGAGTCCAGTTATGGAGGCTTTGGATTCTGGCTTTACCTTGTACTGGCTCTTGCCTTGAGCAAGGTAATCAATCTGCCTCTCTGAGCCTCCGGTAAGCCTCTGAGGAATGGAAGTGTCAGCGTGTGCAAAAGTGTCTGCACACAGAGCCTGCTGTACGCTTAACTCACCCAGTCGTATCGGATGTTTTCAAAACGTTGACGTTGAAGCATCAACAGTAAAACTTCCTAGAGAAAAGTGCACTGTTCTCAGAGCTGCAGCTTTTGGGAAGTTGTAGCTGCCGACTCGCACTCTAAGGGCACTGAGTGACCTGCTACCAAGAGAGAGTGGAGGTTTCGCTGAGGAAGTCACCCACAAGGGAGGTAAAATATGGAAGTGCAGCTTCATCAGAGACCTTTCGAGTAGAGAATGTGATGCAAACTGAAGTTGGTCTTTGTTAACAGTACCGTGAATCAGTGTTAGCTTATCAGTAAGCTGATTCCTGTGTCTTAACTGATAAGGAAAACGGGAGGTTTTAAGAGAAAGGTGGCTGTCGTATGTAGCACAGAGCTATTAGAGAAATTAGTTTTTAGAGTTAACAAACTCTGTTGGTAGGAAGTTGAGGAAGAAAGAGCGCATCGGACTGATGGTAAGTGTCTTTCCTTGGGGTGTTTTTCAAAAATGCATTTATCTCAAAGGGAATGGAATTTTAAAACAAAACTGGGGGTTAAACTTAATCATTGCTCTCAATTTTCTGTTTATGAAAAAGGTAGTATTACCCCATGGGAAACCCAAGTTACAGACTCATGAAGTCCTGTGGAGTCTTGTTTGCATGATGTGGAACTTTGCCTCGTGTAATGGAAAATAAATGGGGGAGGATGGGCTTGGGAGGGGGCCTTGCAGTGTACAGTACATACAAAGTGCCCATATGCCAGGATTCTTCTTGCTGGAATCCACTAAAGTCCAGAAGTGGAATCTGCTCAGACCGTGGAGAAGGGAAAAGTGCTTAGCAAGCAAGGAGCTGCGGGGCAAAGGGTATGTGGTATGGGGAAGAGAAGTCAGACCCTCAGGGTGAAGGAGATACAGGATGAAAAAGGAGAGTGACAGGTATGGGGAGCAGGGCTGCTGAGGGCCCATCTTTCTGGGTGAGTGGTGGGTAGGGAGGAATACCTGATTTAAGTTCACGCTTGGCGTTGGCACCTCCAGTTGACAGCTCCATTTCTTTCCTCTCTGAAGTCTCCCAACAAAGCGTGTAGAGTAAGATGTGGCAGAGCTGACCCCCAAAGACGTACCCCTGAGCGTCAGGGACAGAGAAGTGGGAGGTGTGCTCCCTCTGGCTGCAACAGTTCTCTCTCTTTTTTTCTTTTTTTTGGCCACCCCATGTGGCATGCGGGATCTTAGTTTCCCGACCAGGGGTCGAACCTGCGACCCCTGCAGTGGAAGCATGGCTTCTTAACCACTGGACCGCCAGGGAGGACCGCTTCTTTTTTCTTTTTTTGCAGCCGTTCTTGAGGCCAAAAATACTCATGTGTCATTGCCCCCAAATCTCAATATGGACCTTGTTATCCCCTTTCTGCTGTTCTATGTACAGTATGTGAGAGAAAGCTCTGACTTACACAGAACTGCACTTAATCCCTGCCGATGACTTACCGATGACTCTAGGCCACTCATCTGACCTCTTTAATTCTTGTATTCTTTACCTATAAAACCAGCATCTTAGTACTAATACCAAGCTAAGAGGGTGGTTTCTAAAGATTAAATGGATGTAAAGTAACAGCACCGCACCTAGCTGTCAGCAAACGCTTAATAATGTCAGCCATCGTCATTATTTTTTACCTTTCCTGCTCTGGGAACCTTCATCTCTGTGCCCTGCTGGCAGCATGCCGTGGCTGCTGATTTGAATTACAGGATCCCCAGCAGGACATTGGGTTGTCTCTGCTCTTGAACAGGTTGTATAGATGAGGACGTTTCTCCCTCTATGTCTGAAGATGTGGACTAATAGCTCAAACAGATCTGGGACGTCTTTGTTTTTCAGATTCCTGCTTTTCCATCAGGAGAACTCTTCATATATGTCCTTTAAAATGTTGGTCCTATGATTATGAGGGTCCATAGTTCTCTGCTCGCCCCTCCACACTTCCCAGTTTTCTGTGAATGCAGAGATAGAAAAGTGCAAAGGAGAGGATCTCCAGAGATTTGGGTAACATTGATATCCAAGGGGTATCCAAGGGATACCAATACCAGCTCTGAGGTAGGGGCAAGCTTGGGTGTTGGGGGGAGAGGAAGGAGAAAAGTGTGGAATGAGGGTGGGACACATAGAAGACCTGAATCAGAGATGTGTGAAGGGTGGCAGACCATGGAGGGCCTTTTAGTCCATTATAGAGACTTTGGTTTTCACTGAATAAAAGGAGAGGTTTGAGGAGAGGAGTGGTTAAAAGGATCATGCTGGTTTCTGCTTTGAAAATAGATTCTAAGGGGGCAAGGGAAGGACCAAAGAGACTAATTCAGAGGCTACTGCAATGATCCGGGCAAGAGATGGTGGTAGCCTGGACCACCAGTGAGTGTCATGAGCAGGGGTCACGTGGTTGAGCTCTGAATATACTTGGAAAGTAGATTCAGTGGGACTTGCTGATGGTTTGGATGAGATGTGCTGGAGACAGAGGCATAAAGAAACCGCCATGGATTTTGATCTGAGCAGTTGTAAAGATGGAGTTGCCATCAACCAAGATGATAAGGGCTGTTGGAAGGGCAGATTTTGGTGTGAAGAACAGGAATAAGTCTTGACAGGTTAATTTGGAGACATCTAGGATACAGATTAGTGGAGGGTCAAGTCAGCAGGTGCATATCTGAGCCTGAAGTTCAGGGGGATAGTCTGGACGGCAGGTTTCACTTTGAGAGTAGAATCCGCATATAGATGAAGTCTACAACCAGGAAAGTGGATGACATCACATGAGGAATGAGTGTAGACAGAGAAGAAAAGAGACTCAAGGACTGAGCCATGCAGTGGTGGGGAAAAGAGGAGATGTGAAGAGCAGGACGGGGAGAAACTGTTCCACTGGGACAGACGCTGCTCAGAGCTCAAGGCAAGATGAAGACTAAGCATGCACAGTGGTTTTAGCAATTACGTGGAGGTAACTGGTGGCATTGACAACGGCAGGATGCCATTGCAATCCTAGCTAGTTATTAACAGAATTGAAATTTAAAGAAGGAAGCAATGCAGTGTTTCCAAAGTGGGTTCAGATTCTATAAGGTTATTTGCAAATCGAGCAGACAAACAAAACAAAATGAGAAACAGAAACAAAGAAAGAAAGGACTCTAATAGAAACTTATTTTAACTTACGCTGAATTCTCAGCACTTCCGCAGTGATTTACACACAGAGATGCAAATTTATCTGTTTGGGAAAGATGAATATCTCTCCCCAGGGAAGCTTTCCAGTGAAAATAAGCAGTTGCTCTTTTGTAACCTCATGATCTATCTATACACTTTCACTCTTGAAGAGCTCATCTAGTCTGGTGGGTTTAATTTTATCTATACACTGACATATTCCAAATTTATATATATCTGGATGATATATCTCTAGCCCAAATGTGTCTCCTGAACTTCAGAAGCAAACAGCCCGCTGGTATCTTGACATCTCCAGTTGTATGTCTAAGAGGTATGCCAAGCTGAATATGTCCAAAACTGCTTGACTCTCATTCCAAAACCTGTTCCACATCCAGTCCCCCATCTCAGTAAATAGCAACCCCCTATGCCCAGTTGCTTGGGCAAAAGTCTTGAAGTCGTCTTTGGCCACTGTCTTTCTCTCCTACCCTATACCTTGTTCATCAAGAAATTCTGTCAGCAAACCTCAAAATACAGCCAAAATCCAACCTTGTCTCACAACCTACACTTCCACAGCCTGGTCCAAGCCACCATGTCTCTCATCTGGGCCATCACAAAGCCTCCTATCTTGCTTTCTTCCTCATCCCTTGCCCTCCTGAAGGCTATTCTCAGCACCCAGAGCCTTCTTGCTAAAACCCACGTCAGGTCCTGCCATTCCTTGGCTTGTTGCCTCCTGTGGCTCCCACCTCTCTGAGCCAGGACCAAAGTGCTTAAGCTGACTCATGAGGCCGTGCACGATTTGGTCACCGGACCTCTCCGAGCTTCTCTTACTTCCCTGCCGTCTTTCTCCACTCGAGTCACAGGGCTCCCTGCTGCTCCTCAGACACAGCAGGCGTGCTTCTGCCTGGGCTGTGCTTCGACTGTTTATCAAATGCCACCTTCCTAGTTGGCCTTCCAGGTCACCCTACCTAAAACTGCACACCTCTCCAATCCTCCTTACTTCCCTCCTCTGATTTCTTTTTCTCCCTGAATGTATCACCATGTAAAACCTTTTATAAATACTTTTTACTTATTTATATAAATATCGTCCTCCTTCTCCACTAGGCTGAAAATTCTGCATGGGCAGGCATTTCTGTCTTCCTCTGTTCTGCGTGGTATTTGGGGTGATGAAATTGTTTTAGAACTAGATAGAGGTGTTGGTTGCACAACATTGTCAATGTACCGAATGTCACTGAATTGTCACTTTAAAATGATTGATTTTTGTTTTGTGAATTTAACATCAATAAAAAAAAATTATTGAGCAGCAAAAAAAGAAAAGGAAATTGAATAGTCAGGCTAAGTCTTACTGAGAAGGTGCCATAGGAGCAACGACTTGAGGAGGTGAGAAAGTTAGCCTTGTAGGTAATTGGAAGGAGGCGTCCAGACAGAAGGAAGAGTGAATGCAGAGTACTGGCTGTACCTTCAAGGAGGACCCAGGAGCCAGGACTGGAAAGGAGGACCCTGGTGGCCTCATATAATGTGGGCACCATAGCTGCTGTAAGGGTGTTGGCGTTTCCTCTGGGTGAAGTGGAGGCGCATATGATTTGACTTAGGTTTTAACAGGATCTCTGGAGCCTCTGTATCAGGAATAGTCTGAAGAGGGGCACTTGTGGAAGCAGAGAGAACAGTTAGAAACTATTTTTAAAATCCAGGTGAGAGATAATGGTGGCTCGGATGGGGACGTGACCGTGGAGGTGGGGCCGGGGGGATGGGGGATGTCATTGTAGGTAGGATGTACTTTGAAGATGAAACTATTAGGATGTCCTGATACATGAGGAAGAGGAGAGCCAATCATATGTGGAGAGTTTTGGCTTGAGCAACTCTCAAGGGGGAAGATGGAGTTGCCATCACTGAGACAAGGAAGATTGTGGGAGAAGTTTTTCTTAGGGGCGAGGGAGCGGAGGAAGGTTGGAGGGTTATATCTCCAGTTTAGTTCTGAAGATATAAAGTCTCTGTTAATTCCAGTTTGTCCTTGAATATATACAAGTTGCTTCTAGTTTTTGAAGGGGAGAATTGGCTGAGGCCAAAAGAAGCATGGAGGGAGGGAGGTAAATGCTGAGTGCCCCAAGAGTTTGGAGTGTGGCAAAGAAGCAGCAAAGAGATAAAAGTGTAACCAAAGGAGACACAGTGGGTAGACTGGGCCCAGAGCCTTTTCTGGGGATGCAGGGCATACCACCTAACACTACACAGGATCTGCCCCCATCTGTCACAGGCTTTATGCACATTTTCATCAGGAAAGACAGAAGGAAAGTGGTGTCTAAAATGCTCTCTAATGAAATGAGGGGGGAAAAAATCCATTTGCTTATCATCAGAATTATTGAGTGAGAACCTGACTCACTTAAATTCGCAAAAGTTTAATAGGACAAGTATTTCCTCGTTTTCACGTGTTTACAGTAAGACCAGGCTACAGATGGCCAAGCTCTGCAGTGTGTTGACATCGTATCTCCATTTAGCTATGACACCGGCCAAAACAAATGAATAAGCCTCACAGGATATCTTCTAAGTTATGAAATACTTGGGTGCCACGTTGCAAATGCAAGCAGCTAGATGTTCCTCTGGCAAATAAAGGTTTTGTTTTTTGTTTGTTAGTGGAAATGTCAGAGAATTAGATTATATGTGGGGACATGCAAGATTTCAAAACTGTAACCCCCAAACCAGAAAAAAATGTATGGCCAAATTAGGTTAGATTAATTTTGAAAATGAAGAGTAATTCTGAGGAGTCTTAAAAAGACGATATCTGCCAATGAAACCAGCAGGCACTGGAAGACTTCTGCTTAACTTGGCAGAATTCATGCCTGCCCAAGAGCTTGGATTTAGTTATTTATTAGAAGCCCTTGTCTTGCTAAGTGATTATAAACTATGACACTTTTATGTTGGATGGTGGCATAGTGGTTAGAAGCCAGAATTGTCTGGTTCTTTACAGAAAAGATGCTTAAAGGAAATTAGAGCCGCTTATTTTGTTTAATCTCCCAGTCACAATCATAAGAAGGAAAGCTTTACCACTCTAATCTCTCTCTCTGTTTTTAGTTGATATTAGAAAAAAAAAAAAGCCTTGTCTTTGAGGTTCAGCAAGTCTGGTTTCAAACCCAGCCACAACTGGGTGAGCTTGGTCAAATTATTTAACCAGTCTCGTCCTTGGTTTTTTGTTTTAATCTGTAAACTTTGAATGATGCTAATGCTAAGTACCATGCAGTATTTTACTTTGAATGAAAGGACTTCATTGCTGAATAATGGACTGAATTAAAACAATAGCTTTTATTTATCATAATAGCTAGACTTTATTAAATGCTTCTGCAAGATGTCATGATTATGATATTAAAACTCTAACTGAAACCTTATTTAAAACTAAGAAATCAAGGTAACTGTGGCCTCATCTAAATGAATAAATGTCTAAATTTAATTTCAAAATTTTAAGATGTTTTAGGGTACAAAATATAAGTTCGTATTCAAGTGTAAGAATATTCAAGTGGGTATCATTTTACTTAGAAAGAGAAAAACAAATATCGTATATTAACGCATATATGTGGAATCTAGAAAAATGGTACAGATGACCTTATTTGCAAAACAGAAATAGAGACACAGACATAGAGAACAAACATATGGATACCAAAGGGGAAAGGGCGTGGTGGGATGAATTGGGAGATGGGGATTGACATATATACACTATTAATACTAGGTATAAAATAGATAACTAATGAGAACCTGCTGTATAGCACAGGGAACTCTACTCAATGCTCTGTGGTGACCTAAATGGGAAGGAAATCCAAAACAGAGGGGATATATGTATACGTGTAGCTGGTTCACTTTGCTGTATAGTAGAAATTAACAGAACATTGTAAAGCAACTGTACTCCAAAAAAGTTAATTAAAAAATGTTTATCTAGGGCTTCCCTGGTGGCGCAGTGGTTGGGAGTCCGCCTGCTGATGCAGGGGACACGGGTTCGTGCCCCGGTGCGGGAAGATCCCACATGCCGCAGAGCCTGCGCGTCCAGAGCCTGTGCTCCGCAACGGGAGAGAGGCCACAGCAGTGAGAGGCCCGCGTACTCCAAAAAAAAAAAAAAAGAAAAGAAAAAAATGTTATCTAGAGCTTACAGTGTCCTGGGCACTGTTCCAGTCTTGCCTGCTCCTGACTCTGTGGTCTCAGTGCCAAAACTCATGGTCTTGACAAGTAAGTCAAGAATAGCAATGAACAGATCTAATTCCTTGAAGTGACGCCAAACATGGTGGTGAATCTCCCAGCAGTGACCAGACTTTGCATCTCTTCCTCTGAGAGCACACGACTGGTGTCCCTGCAGGTAGGGATGCCTGTTCAAGAACATTGCCAACCACAGAGGAGTGGGGAGAGGGGGATGGTACGGTCAACTGGTTCCAAAAACCTACTAGAATTATTCTTTGGCTGTACCTCCTCTCTTGACCTTCTTCACCTGGTGGCAGGATGATTTAGTGGTCAGGAATCTAGCCTTTGGAGCCAACCTGCTTGGGTTCAAATTCTGGTTCCTCCTCTTAGCGTAACATGACTTGGACGGTTTGCTTACCCTCTCCGTGTCTCAGTGTCCTTGTCTGTAAAACGGCCACAATAATGGTAGTGCCTGCTTCATTGGGTGGTTATGGGAATGAAGGAGTTAATACATGTAAGTCATTCAGAACTGTATCTGGCATGGAGTGAGTTCCAGAGAAGGCTTAGCTTTCGTTGTTATATTATTGTACGGGTCTGGAATTAGTCCCTGAATCCTTCTGGGGTGTGGTGAGTTTTAAAAGTAAGTCGAATTTACCCATGATTGACTCATACCCGCTATTCCTAGCTAAAAGCAAATCTTGCCGTTAGCATTTGTTTTACATGGAGCCCAGGAGTTGAGGGTTATGATTTTCCTTGTCATTCCCCTTAAGGCAGCCTTCGTACTCAAAACTTCCCTCTATTTCTCTGAACTCCTTAGAAAAACTTCTTTTTCCCATCCAAGAGCCCCGTAGGGACTTAAATCTGAGGATCTGGAATCTGTTTTTGGATGAGACTGTGTCAATTCTGGACCCTAAACAGAACATTTGCAAAATCTCATAAAGTCCTGTTTACTTCTCATTGCTTTTGCCCCCATGTTGCTTTTGAAACTCTCTGCACCAAAGCTGCTGTAACTGGCCACGCCTTCCTAACTAGTGTCTGCCAAACGAAGTGTCAGAGGAGTATCTGGAAGAGCAGTCTCAAGGGCCCCAAGGTTTCCAGATCATTTGGAACTCAGTGTAATAACATCAGTGCGATAAACAACAAGCATTAGCTTGAGTAACTGATGCTAAAACAGGGAGATGATTTGATTACTTTTCCTAAAGGGTTATTCAATGTTGTCCTTACATTTAAATATTTATGTACCAAGGTCAGAGTTCTTGGTACGTGATGCGCCAGCACTTTTGAACAAGTCATGAATTTTGGCTAGAAATCAGATTTCAGGGTGGGTGGAGAGGTGAGTTGAAGGATGTCTTTGAGTATCTCCCCTTTAAAATAAAAGAGAGCGTGCAAGTGAGTAGTCTGCAGGGAAGGAGCTGCAAGATCTGGAAACAATTCACAGCTCAGTCATTCACTTGAAATTCATTCCTCCTGCCCTTCCGTCTGGGTAAGCATCAATTACTTATCTAAAATCTGTAGTAAAAACTTTTCCAGACACGTAATACGGAAAGTATCAACAATTCATGTTTAGAGGAAATGTGCTTTCTGAAAATATATTAAGGGTTGTTGTATTCATTCTGTATTTGTCAGTTTCTGTATTGGTTCCATCCATCTCTCTCCTCACTTTTTAAGAAAAAAAATGATATGGTTAAGTTATCCTTTTGCTGAAAGAAAAAGTATGTCATTATTTTTCACAGACCTTCAACTCTTCTTAGAAAGCTTTTGGCGAATCTTGGGGATAAGCAGGGGCAGGGACACATTTCTGAGGGTTTGGTATAGTGTCTAGGGCAACTAGTTGATGACTGTTTTACCCATCTAAGCTTTCCTATATTCCTTAGTTGCTTTGGGATGACCGCTTGTTTGCCTGTGTGCTTGAGGGTAGGCGGGAGTCATGTGTGTGTACACACAGCTTCCAGCCTGTGTGGATGTCTGGGTTTCATATCTGCATTTATAATATTGTATTTTTTAAGGTCTGTTGAATTTTATAATTTTCTTTTTTTTCCGAAATAGAAACTCATTTTCTTTCCTCTTAATTTAGCTTCGGTACATTCTCACGAGACGGTGATATAGCATGGCTGTCGTAAGCCCTGCGTGGTCCAAAAGTCCAGTAGGAATAAATGTAATGATGCATGTCTGAAGTCTGCTCCTATACATATTTATACATATTAAAGATCTGTTCATGAATAATTTTCCTGGGCGGTATTGAGCAAGTAAAAATCATGGCTGTAAATATTTTGCTTGTGATTTTGTCTGACTTATTTTTTGGTATCTTTTTGTCAGAGATACTGACAACTCTTTCCAACTGTAAATCTTAGGGAATACCATCAACCACCTAAAGGGGAGCCTCACCATCGTATGTCACAGATCTGACTTGAATCATCTTGAGAATCGGTTACCAACACTTGCTCTAGATTGAGAAACTGAGAATGAGACTTTGGGTCTTGGTAATTCCAGCAATTCTCATACCTTCCACATCAGCTACATTTAGTAAGTATTGCTTTTGAACTGACATTTAAAATTTTTTTAATTAAGTAATTCCAAGAACATTTGCCTAGTTTTAAATTGCCTGCTTCCAATTGCCCTAGCTGAATGGTAACCTAGAAAATTCATTTATGCTCTGCAGTCATTCTTCATCACCAATCTATCAGGACATATATATATATATATATATATATATATATATGTGTGTGTGTGTGTGTGTGTGTGTGTGTGTGTGTCAAATATAGCATAATTTTAATTTTACATATTCAAATACATCAAAATTTAATACGGTGCCTGCACGTAGAAGGTATTGACAGCATTTGTTGACTGACGACACACTTTGTGTAGATGACATGGATGCTTTCCTTTGGAGCAATGTGAAGGATCTAGCTCCAAATTAAGTCACTAATCTGTGTATCCATTAGAATATTTCCTAAAAGATCTTAGATCATTTACTTATTCTTTCTCAAAGTGTGACCAGTTTCTAAATTTAATCCTAGAAGGGGATACTTAGAATACAGAAATTGTAATCCTTTTTATATGATCACTTCAGGATGATATTTATACATATTTTATATTTGCAGGCAAATCATCTTGGGGCCTGGAAAATGAGGCTTTAATTGTGAGATGTCCCAGACAAGAAAAATCTCGGTACCCTGTGGTCTGGTATTACTCAAAAACCAACAAACATATTACCACCCAGAGAAGAAGTCGTGTAGTTGCCTCAGGGGAACGTCTTAAGTTTCTCCCAGCCAAAGTCAGTGATTCCGGATTTTATACTTGCATTATCAGAAGGTATTATCCAGTCCTGTTCCTTTGTCTTTAAGAGTTGATAGTCTGAGCTGCCTCACTTCTCTTCTCTTTCTAGACCTCTCTGCAGAAGTTGAATTTATAAAGTGATTGGAATAAAAGAGCACCTGAGGAACACCATCAGGTTGGGCTTTAGGTGATGGTGAACTCTCTGGATGTATAATGACAGGGTCTGATTTGTAGCCCAATTAGAAAAAGACCTAGCTTTTCTAGTGACCAGGAAAACTGAGAGCAGTTGCTCACGTTGGGCTCCAAATCAGAACAAACCAGCAGCCTAGATGTGGGGTGTCAGGAGGCTTATGATGGGTGTAAAAGGGGGGTCATCTGTGCCTCCCACGTGAGGGGCAAACCCAAGAAGTTTACCTGAGACTGGGGGCCCACAAGTCCCTCACTCTACATGTAAATCGCCAGCTCTTGTGATTTTGTGCCTGTTTGGTACGTGCAAGATGTCAGATGAACTAAGTCAAAAGGCAAGATGGGTACAGTTAGGTGCCTAGGTTCTGAGGTCAGACAGCGTTAGTTTCAAAGTCACGGTGTGTCACTAGTTAGCTGTGCATTGCTGGTAAGTTACTTCTCCATCCTTGTTTCCTCATCTGTAAAATACACGTGATAGTAGAACCCACTTCAAAGCATGGCTATGAGAATAAAATGAATGATACACAGTAAACTCTTAATAAATACTAATTATCTTTATTATATCAGGTCTCGGTGTTACAGCACATACAGTGTATACAGAAATGGTGAGGGAATCATTTTAAAGGCTACTGCAGGGGTTGCGTTTTACCTAAAATGTAACAAAAAGCATTTAAAACTCTAGATTTTAATGATTATTTTAGAAGAAGAACCACTATCTGTCAATTGTTTTAGGAAGAAAAGCAATATTAAGTAAAAGTTAGAGCTGGGTTAAGTTATTTCATAATGCTAAGTGACTTTTTAAAAAATTGTTTGATTTATTTTAATAGTCCTACCTCCAATAAGACTGGATATGTGAATGTCACCATTTATAAAAAACAACCAGGTTGTGATATTCCAGACTTTCTGATATATTCAACAACATCTGGATCAGAAAGAAATTCCAAAATATATTGTCCTACAGTTGACCTCTACAATTGGACAGCGCCTGTGGAGTGGTTTAAGGTAAAAGGAAACGTGCAGGAAATAGATGAAAATTACACCATCAAAATAGGTGGAAGTAAAGAATTACTGAAAGTGGACTGGAACTTTTCATTTCAGAATTGTGAAGTTCTTCAAGGACCCAGGTACCGAGCACACAAGTCATTTTTGCTGATTGACAATGCAAACAGCAAGGACACTGGTGATTATACATGTAAATTTATGCACAATGAAAATGGAGTCAATTATACTGTGACTGCAACCAGGTCATTCACAGTTATTGGTAAGCTACTGAATTTAACAAAATGCAATACTTGAAACAAGATAACGTGACACAAATTGTGTCCTTCTTGTTGATTTGCCGGTACTTCATGCTCCTCCCCAAACTTCCTCCTGACTCATCTTATGTGTATTCTCTAATGTGACGCAAAGAGATTTTCTAAATGCACTATCAAGATTTAAGACATTTTGGAGGGAAATTACGCTGCTAATCCAAAGCCACATCGGTTCTGTCCTCTATGGCTTAATTTTTCAAAGATAATGTGATCTGAATGCTAACCTAACATTTTTTTGAATGGCCGTACAACTATTTGGAGAGCAAGATTAACTCTTCGTCTCGCAATTTGTTGTCAGAGGTACTGTAAACAGAGGAAAATCTATTTCATCTCTAACATAACTAGCCGGTTAGAAGTTGAGTGAGAAGCTTTATAAAGAGATACATAGATATTGTTGGCTGATTTGCAATCTCGATTTGCAATGCTTTCATCATCATCCAGGACCTTAAGTAGGTCATTTAATTCTACCTTTTTTTTTCAAAATTACTTTAAATTCTATAAAAGTCCATCAGGGGTGAGACTTCACAGTCAAGCCTGTTAAATCTACAAAGAGTTGGGGTCTCCTTAGCAGAGCTTGATCTATGGGTGTAGATGAAGCAGGACCTGTATGTCTGGCAGATTCCTCAGGGCAGAGCAGTAGTGGAGAAGTGTTTTGGTTTGTAGTTTTCCAGTGCCCCACCGCTGTAAAGTAAGCATCGCTGGACCACATTTGTGTTAGTACCTCTCAGTGTTCAACATCAAAACCTGCAGGGGTCCTTAATCACACCATCCCGAAATAAATGAGAATCAAGGGGTGCAGGAATGCAGCCGTGCATTCACCGTGTCTAGGCATCAGTGCCACAGGAATTTGAACTTTCTGATAGGGTGGGCCACACGGGTGGAAAGCTGTGAGCAGAAGTGTGGACTTACGTGTTTATCACTTCAGGAGTCGTTTGAACTCTTCCCTGTAGCGTTCGTTATGCTTTTTCCTATAGAATCATCGTTTTCTGACAATTGCTACGTCATGCAATTAATTTAATGCTCCAGATGGCATTTGTTTTAATCATAAAAAGAGAATAGAAAATATCAAAAAACATCATAGGTAGTAAGAGAACGTATTGCTTGAATGTTTTTGTTTCGCGTGTGTGTGCGTGTGTGTGTGTGTGTGTATGCATGTGTATTTGTTGCCATGGATCTCAGAAACATCACTGTGAAAAAGGACAGAAATATGAAAATACAAGCTTTATATTGATGACCACCCAATGCTTGCCTCATATTTATATTTAATTAATTACATATTTATATTTAAATATTTACATATATTTACATATTTACATTTATATTCTCTTTGATTTCAGACAAGCAAAGCTTTTCTTTGCTTCCAGTAATTATAGCCCCTCCACAGAATGAAACAAAGGAAGTGGAAATTGGTAAGAAAACTTTAAGAATACTGTAAATGTTTCGTTTGGAAAATCTTTCCATATGACCCCTGTTCTGAATTCCCCAAGCAGGGGTCAGGCTATTACCATAGCGGATCGTGAGGATTAAATGAGATGCGTATTTGGAAACACCCACCTTGGGCCCTTGCTAATATTAGGAATATGTGGTCACAGCAACGTACAGCACTTACATTTGTACTGCACTTGGCTCTATTTTATTTATTTATTTTGGTGCTTTCATGTGTGCTACCTCATTTCCCTCTCACTTCTATCCAACTGTCCAAGGAGGTAGATATCGTCCCCACTTTATGCTTGTGGATGCCTAGGCTTAGAGAGGCTCAATGACATACCCAAGGATGTGGCGTGAATAAATGGTGATGGAGGAGAACCCAGATTGTATGCCTCTGTCCGTCTCTGCTTTTCCTGGTTCCCTGCGAGAATGGGGTCAAAATCAAAGTTCTTAGCACGTAAAGCAAAACCACGCTGACTGCCTCAGAGCTGCTCTACTGCTTTGCAGGGTTTTCCACGTTCCTCCCTGCTTTCGCCAATGCCCTCCTTCCCATCCGTCGACACGAAGCTCAAGTACCCCCTCCTCCGTGAAATCCCCCTGCCCGCCTCCTTACCTGCCAGGGAGCACGATCAGAGCCAGCATCCGGCTCTGATCCAGGACCACCAGCACCAGCCCTGCTCCCTGCCCTCATGTCTCCCTCTGTATTCCCATGCCACTTGTCTATCTTTCTGTTAAAACACTAGAATACCGTGTGTTCTGATCGTTTGCTTATACCACTGTCACCTCCCTGGAGACTCTAAGTTCCTCATCCCTCTTCAGATGCTTAATTCTTGACACAAGGACGAAGAACTCAGTAAAGGATGGCTGAGTACCCAACCCAAGGCAGGAATCAGCCCTTAAGCTTTTAGTTCTGAAAGGAGGAAATCTCAAATTAATAGGAGTGGGAGGGGAGAGGCTCTTGTTGGACGATTAAGCAGTGGGATTGTGGCTGATTCAGGTGAAACGGTTTTACCGGCAAAGGTAGCTTACAGAGAGATGAAGGGAATTCCATAGGAGAAGAAAGGAGTGGAAGACATCCAAGGAAGAGGGGATATGCATATATACATGTGGCTGATTCACTTTGCTGTACAGCAGAAACTAACACAACATTGTAAAGCAACTCTACTCCAATTAAAAAAAAAAAGGAAAAGAAATGGCAATGCATAGTAAGGGGAAATCTTAGATTATAACGTGGCATTGGTGAAGCCTCTATAGTTTCCACTGCAGGGGAGAGGGGAGAGGGGCCTGAGCTTCAGCCTGAACTGTGAGTGTGATGAAAACGATGGGAGATGGAGAAGGTGGCAAAGCGAGGGCAGAGAAGGAGGAAGGTGCTGAAGATGAGGAAAGGAAATGGGAATCAATTCATGACACACACTAGACATTCAATGACTTTTTGTCACATGCAATTAAATGAAGTCCTCTCTGCAGAACTGACTTTTATTGGTGAATCGCCTTCTCATCTAGGAAAACCAGCAAACCTAAGGTGCTCTGCTTGCTTTGGGAAAGGCTCTCAGACCATGGCTGACATCCTGTGGCAGGTTAACAGAAGCAACGTTGAGAACTTCGGTGAAGCAAGAATGCAAGTGTTGCAAGAGCAAACTCAAAGGTATTTTGCAGTCTCAGTTAAAGCATCCCCTTCCCTTCCCACACAGTTTGCAATTGCAAAATAAGCACTGAAAGTAACAGGTTGTCTTACTAGTTCTCGCAGCAAGCTGACTTGCCTAAACGCCGTGTTAAGAATAGCGGATGTAAAAGAAGAGGATTTATCACTGAAGTACGACTGTCTGGCCATGAATTTCCGTGGCCTGATCACGCACACCGTAAGACTAAGGAGGAAAAATCCAAGTAAGGCCTGTTTCTGAGACTTGGGTCACCTGAGTTTGCTGTTAACAGCTGTAAGCTGAATCATATTCTTAGAGAACAGTGTATTGGAGTGTGGCTCCAGGGGAATCCATCAAGTCAGAGTGGTCCATCTCATAAATTGGAGGCAGGTGGAGAAAAGATCTGTCTTGGGTGTAGGCAACAGGAGGACACATTGTGTGTAGAGAATTAAGACAAAAACGAAGCCACGCCACATTCACTGTGCTTTCCATCCTCACACGTCCAGACAGCGTTAAACGAGTCCGTGAGGACGTGCCCCTCATCTCGGGTGCAAAGGCATCTCGCTTCCACTCCCTCCGTGTATCACTGCGCGCACAATGATGGCAGAAAAGTAGTTTTACAAACATTTCCTTCCTGACCACCTGTCAATTTCCTCACTTGTTTGCATGTCCAGATAAAGACACCCCATTGGTTAGATGTAGCATTTAATCCGGCGTAATGAAGGGTGGGGAGAAAATTTTGATACTTTAACTTGTCACTCCATGTACCACTATGTAGAAATTATCTAATGTGTTTGTCACATAGTCATAGGGAGAGGTAAGCTCCCAGTTTATACCCCTAAGTGGGGTATAGTCCAGATTAATTTGGATAAACCCACAAAGGCACAACGTGGTTGGGAGAGACGAGGAAACAGACCACCAGTCAGATAGGGTCTTTTAGTCTCTGCCCGAGGGGGTGCTTGGGATTTTTCTTGTTTGAATTCAACTTTAACCACCGATTTGCAAGCTATTATAAAACAAACGGAATCATGACTACTGTAGATGATTTTAAATGCTGTCATGTTCCATGGGTCATCAGGATTCTGCCAGTTATAACTGTGTCACCCCAGGACATGTGGACCCTGTTGAGATGTCATTTTAGGGTGACATTTGTGGTTCTGGTGGGCACGGAAGATCCCGCAAGAAAGAGGAAGCCACCTCCACCCCTAGCACTGCCATGCTGTCCTTATCCCCATGCTTTTCTCACATTGTCATTATATGAACGTTCTCCGGGTGCCTGTGTATTGGAATTGTTTTCACGTTACATGTACTTGGTGATTTTGTTCCTTCTAATTCATCTGTATATGCTACCTTTCACCTGTGTTTCTTCAAAGCAACACAATTATACTCTGTCTCAACAACTATGTCGATTAAACAAAAACTGTTACAACTGCTCTCAATGGTCACAATGAATTCCCTTATTTCTAATCATACAATAAAAGAAATTACACATTGTCCTGAATCTTAAAAACAAAAAAATCTGTGTCCCCATATTATTAAATATCATTAAACATTTGATACTACTGCTATTAATAACAATAGTACACATTTATTCATTGTTCCCTAGGTACCAGGACCTGTCATTATTTCCCATATAATTTTTCATTTATTTTATCAAAAATCCACGATGAAGAGACTATTACCATCATCTAGTTTTATAGATGAGGAAACTGAGGCAAAGAGAGGTTGAATAATTGGCCAGGCTACAGTTACAGAGCCAGGATTCAAAGGCAAGCAGTGTTTCCTGTTTATAAGCTCTTACAGAAAGTATTCAGTGTTTAGTCAACACGTACAAGGATCACTTATACATTTATAAAATAACTAACATTTAGGAAGATACTGAACTTCAACTTGCCTTAAGGTCTTGGATTAACTTCTTTCTTCTAGTTAGCTAGTCACATGCATAACTACTTCACAAGAAATAGGGATTCCCGGCATGCATCCAGATAGGATTTTTAGAAAGAGTGACCTGGAAAGGAATCCTGTTGAAATAATTCACTTAGGGAGTATTTATCATCTAAACTGATGACCGTGCAGACACTAGGCTCACTCACAATTTTCAGTTTTGGATCGGTTCACCTTGGTCATTCTTTTTTTAATTAAAAAAAATTTTTTGACCATGCCATGCAGCACGTGGGATCTTAGTTCCCCGACCAGAAATCGACCCCGCACCGCCCTGCAGTGGAAGCTCGGAGTCCTAACCTCTGGACTGCCAGGAAAGTCCCCACCTTGGTCATTCTTGATTTCATAGTGTGGCTACGCAGGGAGCTGATGAACTAATGAAGGGATTTGCAAATACAGACCAGGGATTTTCTATGGCAAAACTGGGAGCCTGTGTTTTGAGATCAGATGAAAATGAAAAGGGAGCTATCTAGCCAAATCTCATTTGAGAGTCTTTTCACATTTATCTTTAAGTGGGACTATTTGTAAGATGGGATAGTTAACGATTCCAAGGAGGGTGAGCACAGTTCTTACATTCAATTTGTATATATCTGACTCAATAAATATGGGGACCATCTTGCAAATATACGTGATGAAGCAATGAGTAAGGATAAAAGTTCAGTGATGGCTAAATAATGTTCATCAGAAGGGAAATATAGGGCATATTTAGGACCTAAAACCCAGTCATTTGACTTCATCAAATACACATTAGAGACTTAGATAGCTCTTGTTTCTTCCCTGCTTTCCTATGCCACAAACCCCAGATGCAATAAGTCCCCAAGACCTGGTGATTCTTTGTCCTTAACGCCGCCAACGCCAGGTTTGTCCATTCCTTTCTCATTATTACATGAATCTGGCCCCTACTGCAGAAACTTCTCATCCCATTCGACTCCGAGGACCTGTGAGTCATAGAAACAAAACTTCCACTACCATCAGATTAATCTTGCTTGTAAACCACTTTCAGTGTTAACGAACCACTCAGCCCTCTTCCATGGCTCTCATGACCAGAATAGAGACAAAATGCTTTAGCTGGAGCCTTAAATCTGATCAGAGCCCAGCCCTAGACCCACCATTCCAATCATATGTTCCAGTAATTCCCCAAACTGGATCATCCCCCTTCCTCAGAAGACACACCCGGTCTCTGCCCTTGGGCTCACAGCATCCTCTCTTGCCAGGAATACATTTTTTTTTTTTTTTGCAGCTATCTAAATCTTACTCATCCTCCAGAGACCTTATTCTGCAAGAAGGCTTCACTGCCCAATCCAGCATGGAGTGTGAGCGCACCTTCCTAAAACCTCTGCTAGCTAAAACTAATGCTTTCACTTCCAATCTTAGCTAAGTTTACATGTGTCTTTCTCTTATGCTTTGAAAATCCCCTACAATGCCTAGCCTGGTGCCTTGCACAGAGTAGGGGCTCACTAAACATTAATTTACTGATTCTTAAAACAGCCATGAAAATGCCATGTAGGCATCCCTTGTATAAATCTCTCATCCCAGTGGAAGCCAGCATCCACGTATTTGTTTATTTTCTCCTGTTTTAGGAATAATAATGATCATTTTTCTCCTCCCCCTATCTTTTGAATAGTGGATCAACAAAGCACCTACTACGTGCTTGCAGGATTTAGCATATTATTCTTGCTAATCAATGTCTTGGTGGTAATTCTAAAAGCATTCTGGATTGAGATTATTCTGCTCTGGAGAGACATAGCTAGACCTCACAAAACTAGGAACGGTAAGTGGCAAGTTTCAAGTTTTCTTCAAAAGAAAAGGTTCTATAAGGGCTGTTGGTTGTTTATCGAATAATCTCTTAATAGTTACGCTACTTAACACAGATTCCCTTTTGCTTGCTAGCATATTATCAATAAACCTTTTTGAGTCCCCTCAGAGGACACTCTCCATCCTGCCTTGTCACTCCTCGTGGTTCTGAGATTCATCCCAACAGCTCCAATTTTCTCCCCCGTAGAATTGCTGTTCTTACTAAATCCCCTGTAGCAGAATCTGCTCCAAGCCCAGAAAGGGCATTTTGGAAAATGGGAAAACTTTATGGAAGTCAAAACATTAACAAAATTGTTCCTGTTTTCCAGATGTGAACAGGTTAGAAAGGTCCATCAGAATGCAACGTATTTTACCAGAAACCCTGTTCCATAAAGAGTCTTACGTACCTACAGATGTACACCCATGAAAGAAGACAGTGCTGCCTGCTTATTTAAATATGAACACCGTTCTTTCATTTGCAGGCAGATAAAATTTAGATTTTCCATATGGATCAGCCAACTAGAGCTAATTATTTGATTTGTGGGAAATTCAGATCCCTTAAAAACTTCTACTCTTTTGCCACTGTTAATTACCCTTCAGCATTTTCACGTCCCCATGGGGAAAACAAAAGCTAAAATTGAGATCTGCTCAGCATAGCAGAAAGCCCCTTAGCCATGAGTATAAATACTTATTAACAGATTATTAATCAAACTTGACAATATGGTTTGAACTAAACTAGTCAGGCTCTTGCCTGTTTTCTATCATTCAGTCTGAGACAGTAAAAAGGAGAACTTTGGGACTAAGATTGGTTTCCTGATGACATTTTGTGGCAGTAGATTGTTGTCATGGTCTCTGGATTCTAGATTATTTGGGGCGATGAGATACATTCACCAACAGCCATAAAACTCCCTGAAGAATGTCTACTAAGAGTCCAATGAGAATTTTGGGTTCTTTGTTCTCATCTTCAGATGGGAAGATCTATGATGCTTACGTGATCTATCCACGGAACTGTAAAAACAGTCCAGAGGGGGCCAGCTCTGTGGAGTACTTTGTTCACCAGATTCTGCCTGACGTTCTTGAAAATAAATGTGGCTACGACTTATACATTTACGGGAGAGATCTGCTCCCTGGAGAAGGTAAAACTGTCAACAACCATCAGGGACAGAAATTCACATTCATCAGAAGGAGGAGCTGCAATTATTATTCCAGGTCATGAGACTAGAGCTTGTAAATATTTCTCCAGAAGAAGGAGGTACTTACTCTTTGCTTCTTCTGCCCCCATCACCACCCTGATCCTGAGGTCTTCACAGTCGTGTCAGTGATATGAAGACAGGATAAGGCATCCTTGCTTGTGGATTTAGCAGGGTCCAGCCCCTACTTCATTCCCCATGTCCACCACTAGGATAACTGACATCTCTGAAGTCCCTCTAGAAGATTTGAAGGAGGACTTGAAATCTAAGGAATTTTGTTCTACTATCCAGAGGCACTGGCTAAAATATTTGATAGGACTCAGAAAGTCTTTATGATTTTCCTTATATTGGTGACACATTTGCAAATTTATATCCTCACAAGAACAGATAGAATTGTGTCTTCTGTTTCTTAATATTCCTAGTTGATTTCATGTGATTTTGACAGTTGGGTCACAATTCTGGCATTTCAGTAGTCGTTCTCCTTTCCCTCCATATTTATGTCAAGTATCTAGGAACCCTCTTTCTAGCCCTTCTCACATTCCTCAGGGACCAGGAAGTGTGTGGAATATGAATAAGGCAGGGACATCATGAGTGTAAGTCCTCAAGTCAATGTTTAATAGACTGTGAGTTTAAACTGGCATTCCTACTGCAAAGAGGGATTCAAGTGTCTATGGAATTAAACGTATACACGACAGGTGAATCTGGTTTATCCTGCAATATTTGGATAATGTTAATGGCCTAGTACCAGCTTGGGAGACATGTATAGAGCGCAATTCAGGAAAACATAACCCACATCTCTCCTGAGGCTCTCTTCTTCCTTCAGCTCTCCCCACTGGCTACCCCTGCAAGTCGAGAGCAATGTCATGTTATTCAGATGCTCATTGCCTGTTACGCATCTGCTTATGAGGCTGCAGGGACTCCAGTTGTTTGTGATGTCACACCAGGTGCTACACGCTCTCCATCTCTTCTTTCTTAGGTCCGCCAACCTCATTTCTAGTTACACCTCTCCCCAGCCAAACGTGAGTGCCAGCTCACTGGTGCTCAAGCTTGTGTGGCCTTTATCGTGCTGTTTTTCATTTGGTAAAGTTTCCCACCTCCGCCTCTCTCAAGTATGTCCTCTGACCTTACCTCAACCAAAGTAAAACAAAATCCAACAAAACAACACCAAACTTCACTCTTCCCTTAGAAAAAGTTCATGACAGGCCCATGCAGTGTATTTCTTCCCATGACAATTACTCTCCATTTGCTCCTTCAAATTCATTCTGCCCCCTCCTCCATCCAGTGGTCTGGTGGTTGATCCTTACAGAAGGCGTCACCCCCTTGCTCTCTGCTCCACGCTGGGCTTGGCCAATGGGAGGCACTGGCAGGTGCTCGGAGGGCAGGGTGCATCCCTGTTCCCTCTGGGTGGGGTCCCCTGGGTAGCTGTGCCCCTCTCTGCTGAAGCACTGGCTCCTGTCAGCTGGCCGTCCTCAGACACGTACCTGCTTTGGGCCCCATCACCGCTCCCCTCCCGTCACACCTGGAGGGCAGTTGTGGCTCCCTGACATCACCTGCTGTGGGGCTCTGCACCATCTCTTGTCGATTTCCTTTGGCTCTGCCCCCATCTTTTATAAACTGTCCTTTCATTAGACTCTCTTTAGTCAGTGCTTTTGAGGGTGCCGAGTTTTTGTTAGGATCCTGACTGACACAAGGTCTCTGTCGGCACTATTCGACATTCATTTCCTGTTTCAGACCACGTGGACCGGCAGTCTTTAGCCTCCACTGCCTAAGAATGTCTTGAGTTGTTTTGTTCATGGTTGTGCTTCCTTAATCATGCCGTTCCCTCCTTGCCGTGAGAGCTGGGTGTTTTACATGTTCTAAGTCCACCCAGAAGTTAAATGAAATCACCATGGAGTTGACGATCCATAAACACTGATTTGATAAGGGGATCTGATCTTCCTTAAGATTTCCCTAGTCTGGATCAAATCAGCTTCTAAAACAGAGACTATTAGGGGATGAAGTGGATCCAGGACTCCCTAGAGACTTTAGTCAGTTCAGAGAAGCAAGGGTTCCTGAGTTTGCACTCTATTTTTTTTTCCCCACCGTCCCTTTTTATTTTATTTATTTAAGATTTCTTTTTCTTGCGGTAACATTCGTTGAATGTAAGTTTCATATGTACAACGTATTTCTACTTCTGTACAACCTACAGCGTGCTCACCACCAAAAATTTAGTTTCCATCCATCACCATACACTTGGCCCCCTTTACTCATTTTGCCCTCCCTGCGCCTCCCCCTCTGGTAACCACTGTTCTGCTCATTGACCCTGTGGGTGTTCATAGCATATGCTCTTCACCATATACTTGTGATTTTTCCCGCTTTCTTCCAGTAGCTGATTTCTAATTTCATACTATTGTGATTGGAAAAGATGCTTGATAGGATTTCAATCTTAACTTTATTGAGACTTGTCTGGTGTCCCAACACATAATCTAACCTTGAGAATGTACCATGTGTGTTGAGAAGAACGTGTGTTCTGCTGCATTTGCATGGAACGTTCTGTAAGAAGAGAGTTAAAATTCTAAGTCCCTTTACAACATGTAAGCTAATATTCTAAGAAGAGAATAGGTATCGATAGCTAGTGAACCGGAATTCGAAGCCTCCTGCTACGTATCTCTACGTTCCCCCTGAACTGAAGGACTCTGGACTGCTCTGCCTGGGAGAGAAGGCTTGGGGCGGATATTCTCACCGTGAAAGGGCTGTGTGTGTTCTTACCCCTCCCACTGTGTCTTTTATCACTAGATGTAGCCACCACAGTGGAAACCAGCATTCAGAAGAGCAGGCGGCACATCTTCATCCTGACCCCTGAGGTCACGCACAGCAAGGAGTGTGCCTACGAGTGGGAGATCGCCTTGCACAACACCCTCATCCGGAACGACTCCAAGGCCATCCTGATTGAAATGGAGGCTCTGTGCCCGCCCGGCGGACTGCAGTTTGGGGAGCTTCAGGACTCCCTCAAGCATCTCGTCAAAGTGCAGGGGACCATCAAGTGGAGGGAGGACCTCGTGGCCAACAAACAGTCTCTGAATTCCAAGTTCTGGAAGCACATAAGGTACCACATGCCGGTGCCAAGCAAACTTCCAAGAAAGACTCCCCGCTCGGCATCCTCGAGCGCCCAGGGGCAGCAGTGCTTGCTTTGACGGCTAACGCACTGCGTTTGGGGGATCCAAATCCCTCCCAGCTGGGTCACGCTGCTGTACCAGACACTGGGGGAGGAGGCTCCAGAAATGGGAGTATCGAGGGTATTCAGACTTCAGGTTTCATGCACTGACTTTACTTCCATTTCCCTGGTTCTGGCTGGATGCAAAATACCCCGAGATTTTCATCCTCAGGCTCGCTGTCTCCACCTCACATCCCCTCCCTCGTCTCCCGTGGCTGGTCCTTCTCCATCGTGGCCCAGCATCTTCTCACTACTCTTCCCCTCTCTCTCTCTTTCTCTCTCTCCTTATTCTTTGTTGATATTCTACATTTTGAACATCAAGCTGAAAGTTTTAGAGTTAAATTTTAATGTGATCTTGAACACTCAGATCCCCTCAAGCAGAACGCTGGTACTAAATCTTGTTCCCAATGCCAGAATGTGTTAGATTTTATTTGATCAGACGCTTAAGTTTTATCGTATCAATACTGTCCACTTGGTTGGAATACCTTACCCAATTACCCAATTATCATTATATTTAAGTTTTTTTAATTCTAAAATTTCTTTCATATATTTTTATTCTCTTCAGAAATATCTTTTCTTCCTGTACAAGTTATAAAAGAACAGAAAATATGAAAGAAAAAATAACAGAAATTGTTCATAAATCCATCATCCTAAGATTTTGACTTTTAAATGTTTTGGTAAATTTGCATTTTAAGAAATTTTAATTTATACTTAAATATACCATTTATATAGCTGAGATTATACAGCATGTAGTTTTTACATTTTTATCTACTTAAAATCATAATAAAAGCATTTGACAAGTCATTCAAATTTTAACGTTTTAAAATATTCATAGTGTTCCAGCTCCTGGTTGTGCTACAGGTGACATGCCTAATTACTTATTGTTGGATATTTAAGTTGTGTCCAATTTAAATAGTCATCATTATAAGTAATTCTGCAGTGGCCATATCATTATACTTTATACCTTCCAATTAAAACAATTTTTTTTAATTTGAGAAACTTTTTTAAATTTAATTTTTTTTAATTTGAGAAACAAATTAGTTGTAACATTTCCATGAAATAAGTAGGGCATTTTGGCAGAAGTGTGTTAGTAAAACTGAAGTTAATTTGCACAGTCAGGGCCACTCCCATCAGTTCCTTGGAGTTCCCGCACCATCAGAGCCCACCAGAGCTAAGGCTGAGGGACCCTCAGACTGGGCGTCCTGTCAGAGCTCAGATTTTGCAAGTGGATGGAGGTCCTATCCTCAACTGAGCTGCTCCTGGGCCTCAGTTTCTGCAACTGAAAAGTGGGAGGATGGAGAAGAAGAGCTGTGAGGGCTTTCTCAGCTCCGATAGCCCAGGGTTCCAAGCCCTACACTCACAGAGAGGTTGGGGAACTGCCAGAAGACCTGGCTTCTCATACCAGCAGTGCCACTAACCTCTCTTAGTTTCTTCTTCTCCTTTCTTTTTAAACAAATTGTTGACCTATTTTATTTTTTTTATTTTTAAGTATTTTTAAAATTTTTATTTTATATTGGAGAACAGTTGATTAACAACGTTGTGTTAATTTCAGGTGTACCGCAAAGCGATTTAGTTATATATATATACACATGTATCTATTCTTTTTCAAATTCTTTTCCCATTTAGGTTATTACAGAATATTTAGCAGAGTTCCCTGTGCTATACTGTAGGTCCCTGTTGGTTGTCTATTTTGAATATAGTGCTATGTATATGTCAATCCCAAACTCCCAGTTTATCCCCTGCAAACAAATAAGTTTGTTTTCTAAGTCTGTGCTTCATCTGTACAGTGAGAGTAATAGATGCTTCACCTTCCACACAAGATCCTGTGAATAAAATGAATTCAGTCAAACTTGTTGAGTGTCTACCATATGATCGTGGTGAAAATTCCCGTGAATTATAAAAATCACAAGGAATTATTTTTAATTCAGTCAGACCTGAGTACGATAAAATGCAGCTCCTAAGTTTGATGAGTTGTGACAGTCATACCTACCTGTGTAGTTATCACCCCAAACAAGACAGAAATATTTCCTTCATCCCAGAAAGATTCCTCCTGCCATTTCTCAGTCGATCCCTCTCCTTCCTCAAAGGCAAACGATGTTCTGATTTCTATCTCCGTGGATTGGTTTTGTCTGATCTTGGAATTCATATCAATACAGTCAGCCAGCATTACTTCCACACAACATAGCATTCATGTATCATTCAGGGGAGGTAAAACCTTTTGTACATTTTTAAATTGGTGTTGTTTCCCTTCATTGTTGATGTGTGGAAATTATTTCTATATTCTGGATACAAGTTCCTTTTCAGAGAGATGTAAGGTGAGAATTTCCTAGGCTTTTACTTATTCATTTTTCAATGGTATTACTGATTGGCAGACATTTAAAATTTTGATGACATCCAATTTATCAAATTTTCTTACAAGGTCAGTGCTTTCTGTGTCCTAAAATTTTTTTTTGCTTGTTCCAAGGTCATGGAGATATTCGCCTATGTATTTTTATAAACTGATGATGGTTCCAGCTTTTATGTTTAAGTCTATGGTCCATTGTGAATTAATATTTGTATATAGAATGAGGTAAAGGTCAAGGCTCTTTTCTTCTTTTCCCATAGAGATACCCAGTTATTTCAGCGACATTTGTGAAAGGCTTTTCATTCCCTATTGAACTGACATGGTGCCTTGGTCAAATATTTATAGACCATATATATATGGGTCTATTCTTCTTCTCTCTTTTATTTTCTACTTATATGCTCGTGCAAATATCACACTGCCAAGATTACTATTGCCTTATTATAAACCAAGTCAGTGTAATTCCTCTAACTGTGTTCTTTGTTTTTCAAGATTGCTCTATTGTAGATCGTTTGCAATTTCATATAAATTTTGGAAACTGTTTCTCAATTTCTTTGAAAATTCCTCCTGTGATTTGGATAGACTTTATAACCTACAGAGTCTAAAACTGTATAGACTCTATAAACTCTCCAGTTTGTGGAGAACAGATATCTTAACAATGAGTTTCCCAATTCATGAACAAGGTATAGCCCTCCATTCACTGAGGTCTTTCATCTCTCCCAGTAATATCTTGTAGATACCTTGTACATCTTTCAAACAATTTCTCCTTTGGTATTTGATTTTTTCTGCTATTGTAAGTGGTTTGTTTTTTTTAAACAAAGTTCATTTTTTCATATTTCTATTACTAGTATATGGAATTACAACTGATTTTTGTATATTTACCTTGTATTCCATGGTCTTGCTAAACTCAGTTATTGATTCCAACAGGCTTTATTTGTAGATTTCAAAGGGTGATCTACATAAAATGATGCCCTCTGTCAAAACCAGTAGTTTTATTTCTTCCTTTCCAATATTTATGCCTTGTATTTTTATTTCGAGACAATTTCAGTTACAAACATCCTCATCTTGTTCCCCATCCTAGGAAAACGCCAAGTGTTTCACTATTTATTAAGAAGTTACTTGTAGCTTTCTTATCGGTGCTCTTCATCAGATTAAGAATGGTCCCTTCTAAACACAAAAGACCCCGAACAGCCAAAGCAATCTTGACAACGAAAAACGGAGCTGGAGGAATCAGGCTCCCTGGCCTCAGACTATACTACAAAGCTACAGTAATCAAGACAGTATGGTACTGGCCCAAAAACAGAAATATAGATCAATGGAACAGGATAGAAAGCCCAGAGATAAACCCACACACATATGGTCACCTTATCTTTGATAAAGGAGGCAAGAATATACAATGGAGAAAAGACAGCCTCTTCAATAAGTGGTGCTGAGAAAACTGCACAGCTACATGTAAAAGAATGAAATTAGAACACTCTCCAACACCATACACAAAAATAAGCTCAAAATGGATTAGAGACCTAAATGTAAGGCCAGACACTATCAAATTCTTAGAAGAAAACATAGGCAGAACACTCTATGACATAAATCACAGCAAGATCCTTTTTGACCCACCTCCTAGAGAAATGGAAATAAAAACAAAAATAAACAAATGGGACCTATTGAAACTTAAAAGCTTTTGCACAGCAAAGGAAACCATAAACAAGACAAAAAGACAACCCTCAGAATGGGAGAAAATATTTGCAAATGAAGCAACTGACAAAGGATTAATCTCCAAAATATACAAGCAACTCATGCAGCTCAATATCAA